AATGAATGAAAGGAAATAAAAGGAAATGATATGAAAGGTGTGTCTTCTTACGAGCTCATTTATTGATTCGTTTAGATTTTTGGGTCGCGCTTTGACTAACCCATCGCCCATCACTGAAATTAAATATTAAACATTTGATTTGATGTCAAATGGCAAAATCTAAAAAGCTATCAAAATGTATAAATATTTTAAGCTAATTTGTGGCACAGTGGCGCAAGAGCCCAACAAAAATCTGGATATATAATTTGGAATTTTAATTTAAAAAAAAAATGTATTATTATATTTTCTATACTGATTGCTTTTTTTTATTAATATAAAATATTCGATTTATTTAAGCAGTTACATATGTTTTAGTTTGGTTGATTTTGATTTATATTTAAATTGTATTTCATTATAATATTGACCATTCCCATTGAACTATTAAAAAAGCATTTTAAAATGAATTTCCAGCTTTCAGGTCAATATATAATAAAAGCTTCTAACCAGTAAATATATATTAGCAATTAACTAACGTATTTATACATTTACTACATCTCATATTCTTAGAAATGTTCTTCTTCAAATTCCTAGATATTGATCCATGTCTTGTACATGCTATTTCGTTATATTTAGGCCACAGTGCGTCGTCTGCCAGCTAATTTTAGCAAAAAGAATTGGAGCGCCGCACGATTTCACAGAGAAATATTTTAGGGAACAGCTTTAGCTCCGCAGAACTAGAACTATAGCCAATAACCAATTGCCGGCAGTCGACAGTCGACAGCCGTCAGCCAATATACTTATTTGCTGGCAGACAAAAGCGAGCATTCAAACGCAATTTCATGCGTAATCAAGTGTGGCCGCGCGCCTCAACTGCTGTTACATGATTAATAAGCTGCGATCGCGGGAATGCAGCAAACAGCTTTAAGCTAAATATGCGACACACATATGCCAGCGTCTGCTTTATCAGAGACGCCTTTCCGCCCGCACTTGCCCTTATCATTGCATAGCAATGGGTATGTCAGCGTGTATGTGTATGTGTGTGTGTGTGTATTTTTTATGGGGAGTAACAGCAGCTGCAATGACTAAAAATAAAGCGTTGCGTTCTCGAGTGGCAATGTCGAAAAATGGACAAATTGGGGGAGCATTGGAGGAAGGGAGCAACGAGGAACGAGCAGCGACCCAGCTGCATTGATTTCAGAATATGCACTTTCATTATTTATGACTTTTAATGGAAACCAAGAGAAGAAACCACCTGCAATTGCCTACGCCGACGTCATCGTAGAACAAATGCAAATGCCTTAACTGAAGCCAAGTAGGGAGAGAGAGAGAGGGGAGCGAAAGAGAGAGTAGCGGGAGTATGGGATTCATTTGGCACAGCGCCAATTTAATGCAATACCTTTTTTGCTTTCCCTAGGTCGTCGCATTGTGAAAATACATAATAAACAAAATTGTTTTTGTGGGGGAGAGACTATAGAGTATACAGTATATAAAAAATGAATAAGCACTATACGTATTTGTGTGTGTGCATGCATTTTATAACGCTGGATCATTGATTAGCTACCTTGAACTTAAGTGAGCGAGAGAGACAGAAAGAGAGAGAGAGAGCTTGTGAGCGAATGCTTACCTCTTCCAATATGCTAATCGTTTGACGGCAATCCGGCATGCGGGATGCAAACGTGGAGGTGGTGGGCGAATTGTAATCGTCGCGCGTCTCCTCCACGAACTCAGCGATGCCAATTAAAGCTGGCGGCATTTTGATATTGTTGTTGCTGCTTCACTTACTGCTGACCACACTTTTTGTATCTCTACTTTTTTTTTGCAATTTTGCACACACTGGAAACGGCACAATGGGCGCGCACTAGCGAACTTCAAGGACACCCAGGCAACAACAACAGCAATAACGGCAACAAATAAACGAGTAACGACGATTGCAAGGCAAAGCTGAAACACGAACCGGAGACGACGAATGTGTTTTGTATAACGACGGCACAGCTGCTGCTGCTGCTGCCGCTGCCGCTGCTGTGGGCAACAATAAAGGATCACACAACGAGGCAACAGGAATAAGCAGGATAACAGCGACAACGTTCACGTTTTGCCCTCTCTTTGTGTTTTGAGTGTGCGTCCCGTGTGTACGTGTGTATGCGTGTGTGTGTGAGCGTGTACTGGTGTTGGCACGTTGTCTATATGGGAGCACTCACTTATTACTCTCTTCCTTTATGCAGCAATTTTCGCGTTACTCCTTTTTGAGTGTATTTCTTTCTATTCACTTTTACACACGCTGCCGTTGCACAGTTATTTTACGCACAAACCATTTAATTCTGCTTGTCGTACACTTTTTAGGCGCGCCACCTGATCGCCTCATCTTGCAGCAAAATTCGAGTCGCAGTCGAAGCGCAATTAAAGTTACAGTAGTAGAGAAATGCGCCGCGCATATTTACACCCAACTGCAACGGTTTTAGTCACATTGCCATCACTCAAAAAATCATTTCTAAACACTTCAACACAATTAATGGCAAATTGTGTTTTATCGTATATTTTTTTTTACTATTTACAACTAGCCCGAACCGGAGTTGGGATTAAATATTAATATTGCAATTTTTGCTGCTCTGCTGGCGTCGTCGTTGTCGCGTACGATGTAGCAATGCTGTCTATACTTCGCGATCCAAAATGTACTAAAATTGACCAAAGTACAAAATTCGTACAGCCAGCACAGAGGCAATGAGTTTCAGGGCTGGTATAGATGATTCCACTCACGAGCATTGAACGGAGCTGGTTCGCACATGAACACAAGTAGATTTTGACAAGAAAATACATACAACTTTTTTAAAAATATATCATATATAATAAAATAAATCAATTTAATTTAATAATAATATTTTGAAGATATCATACCAAAATAAAAATTCTGTAAAAGATTTACCATTGAGCAGTGTTCGCGGTAGTTCTTTAATGAACCAAAAAAAAAAGACTGCAACAAGCAAGTTAATCTGTTCAGTTCCATGAGCCCGATAGTGATACTGTTCACTCGCTTCTGAGCGAACAAGCAGCACGATTTATTTCCCATTTGGTCAGTACATATTTTTTGCAATTATATTAATAAGAAATGGCTGGCAAACGGCAAGCTACAACCAATCTAAACCATGAAAACTGGGATCAAGAAGAAGAGCCGGAGGAGCGCGGCACATTCCGAACAGCGCCCCCCGAAGAACTAAAATCACGCGTTATAAGGAAGGCGACAAGGCGCAAGCCTCTAACCGGCTCATCAGAAGGCGAAGATGCCGGCGAAACCCCAAGTAAAACTGTATTCAGCGGCTTTTCAGGTGGGTCCCAGCTGCATTAAATGTGTTTGCTTTACTCATAATATACGTATATAAATTTGTAATTGCAGGTTTCGGCAAGCCAGCAGCAGCATCTGCAGCAACCGGCAAACCATTTGCATTCCTGTCTAATCTGTCGGCTGCAGCTCCTCCTTTGGCTGTATCTACATCTCTAACTACAACAGCCGCCAACAGCTTTCCAAAGCCAAGTGGTAGCTTCGCCAAGAATGATATAACTTCAGCTTCACCAGCTAAACAATCAATAGCAGGGCCAAATTTAACAACCATCATAAGCAGCACAGCATCGACTGTACCAGTAAGCGCAACTTCGATGATTTTCGGAAATACATTTACTAACAATGCATCAAAGGCTCCCGCCTCAATGTTCAAGCCAACTGTGCCCGCCGACAAGTCAGCGGCGTCGGGCAATATAATTAACGCCTCTAAGGAATATCGTGATAGTGTCGCTGAATTGAATATGGCTGTAATGAAATTTCTGCAGGAGCATATGGATAAAAATCCGTATTGTATATTGAGCCCGGTATTCGAGAGTTACGATAAGTATGTGAAGGAGTTGCGAGAGAAAGATGAAACTAAATTAAATGCAGCAAAGACTCCGTTGAAGGCAACAGATGCAACAGCCACACCAACAACAACAACGGCATCAGCAACATTAGCTGCAGCTGAAACTGCAATTACAGTTCCTTCTTCCAGCAGTAGCTTCTTCTTTGGTAAGCTGAGCACAACTTCCACCGATTCAACGTCAACATCTGCGTTATTTGGCAAACAATCAAGTTGTACCGTAACAAGTGGTGGCACCACAACCTCTGCTAGTACACCACTCTTTTCGTTTGGCTCCATCCCCAAGGCAGGCACCGCACCAACCAAGTCGGAAGCAACGTCCAGCACATCTTCGCCAGCAAATATTTTCAGTTTTGGTTTCAAGCCAGCAGCCGCAGCAGCAGCTGCTGATAAAGAGCAGCCCAAGAAGGGTTTCTTCTTTGGGGGCACAGATCCACCCGTTGTGGCTTCTGCTACAGGGGTCACTCCGCCAAAGTCAAATGGATTCACATTTGGTGTAAAGGATGACAAGCCGACCACATCTGTTTTCTCGGGCTTTCCCAAATCGATCAACGATACAGCACCTAGTGGTTTGTTTTCTAGCAGCTCAAGTTCCTTTAGCTTTGCCAATGCTAAGCCCAATCCAAGTGATGCGAATGCCGACAACAACGATGATGAGGAGGATAAGCCACCAGTTGTAGAGTTCAACAAGGTAATGCTCAAACACTACCTGAATAGGTAATCTAATATTTATTCCATTTTAATTATTATACTTTCAGGTAGTTGAAGATGACGCCGTTTATTCGAAACGCTGCAAGGTGTTTGTGAAAAAGCAAAAAGATTTTGTTGAGCGTGGCGTTGGCACCTTATATCTGAAGCCAGTCAAGGACTCGAAAAAGATGCAATTGTTGGTCCGTGCTGACACCAATCTAGGCAACATTCTGGTCAATCTGCTGTTGACTAGTGGCCTACCCTGTCAGCGAATGGGCAAAAATAATGTCATGATGGTATGCCTGCCAACGCCCGAGGAGACAAAGCCGATGTCCATGCTGCTGCGTGTAAAGACCGGAGAGGATGCTGATCAACTATACGAGGAAATTAAAAAGCATACAGTCTGAAGAAATAATGCATTCACTAGATGAGTGAATTTTAAACTCACATTTATGTTATTTGATGAACGTTTATATTAACAAATTATGGAAACATAAAACACAAATACAATCAAATGTTTTGAGCTTTGCAATCCCTGCTTAGTCGACAGAGGTCACAATTACCTTGGCCTGAATCAAATCTCTGAAGTTAACACTTAAAATGGGGGCGGAATCTGTAGTATCATCCAAACGGCTGGAATACTGTTGTAGTACATCAGCAAAATTATCGGAATATGCTACAAGTTGAATAGAATTTGTATTTAAGTCAGTTTATTGTCTCAACAATTAATAATATTTACCGATTACAGCAATTGTGATGGATTTCGTACGACGATTAATGTAGGAGCAGGTGCCCGCGATATTATCCGTAAACGCTGTTGGCGCCTGTGCCCCCTTCACCTTGGGCAGCTTAAAGATTATCGTTTCACCCACATTGGGTAAATTTTCCAAAGGGGCTGCATTTTGTAGCATATCTTTAATGATGTCCAATGACGTATCCTTCATTGACGTATCCTTCAATGGCACCGCTTGAACATCTGAATCAGAGTCATCCACATTTGTGTCATCCAACACCATGACATCGTCATCCGAATCAGAGTCCAATATACTTTGTGTTGTCTCTTTGACCTGTATGTTATCCTTCGATTCCTGCTCCTGCTGTGATATCTCTAAAGAAAGCTGAGGCGAACTCTTTGGTGTCATTGTCGAATGCTCCAAGCCAGATTTAATTGGGGTAATCACTGCTGTAGATGTCTCTACTGACTGTTCCAATTGACTTTCATCCATTTTATGCTCGGCTGCAGGCGCCTTGGCGGGAATCACAATTTCCTCGAGAATTTGAATTTCTTTATGTTTGCGTGAAAGCCTAAAGATGCGGACAGACTTCATGTCCAACTCCATTAGTTGACTACGAAATTCTACTTCAGGTTCTACAGGCTCCAATTGCAGGCTCTTCTCCACAGTTGTGCCATTTGGTGGCACATTTTCTTCATCTTCATCGTCCTTATATAGAATATGATTATTTGAAACGCTTTTTTTGTTGAAACTGCTGAGGTTTCTAGTAGTGCGATCTGATTGATTTGAGATACTGGACTCAGTGGCAGCTGTGGCTGCTGATTTATTATTATCAACACTGCTAATATATGAGGCCCGTTGATCGTCTTGCATTGATTGATCCTCGCTCCCTGCTGCATCTGTACCATCTCTGATTGAGGCAGGCTCCATATAGGTGACCTCATTTCTTGTTATGCTTTTGCATTTGGAACGCTTGGGCAGATTGGGAGTGGAGCTTATCAGCTCATTTTCTGTTTCAGCCGAACGATTTTTGCGTTTTTTACTTCTTTCAGTCGGATGTGAGAGTTCCTCATTAGAATTTCCGGTTGAATCTAGTTGAAAGGCCTTAAGCGACTCCGTCGATTCGATTACTTTGATGGACTCTTTCGGGGGCACATAACATCCATCGCTGGTCAGTAAACTTATGTTCTGCTACAAATGGTTTTAAAACTCTTAATTGGAATTTAAAAATAAACAATCTAAACTTACCAAATTGAACAACTTTTGAATGTGATCTTGCAGATCCTTAACATTAGCCCATGATACATCAACTAACACCAACGAGCACCGACGTTCATCACAAAAGAAGTTGGATAAATCCAATTTTATGGGAAAATTGTGCATTGTCCTCAAATTATCATCCCATTCAAAATATACTACAAGAATTAACCATACAAGCTTGCATTTGGATTCAATACGCTATCGGTGGCTTATCGATAAGCAAAAACGAATCGAGTAACAATTGCCTGATTATTCTGAATCGTTAACAGAATATCGGGTATATTAAGAAGACTAATGAAGAAGGCAAGAGTTGTAAACTTACCAAATAGATTATTTTAGTTATTAAAACTGTACAAACGAGAATATAATAAATGCCGAAATCTTAATTTTTTGTCATACGCAAATATAAAATTCATATGTAAATGTATGCATGTCACAGTCTGTTACAGGGTATTGCACCGTCAAATAACCGCAATTGTTGCATTTGTACTCAAAGCGCAGAATATCGATAAACGGAACATCCCTCACAGAGAGCCCTACCACTTCTTGTATACTACTCCAACGAAAACGAAAACAAATAGTTCCCTTATCACTTAAAATTTAAGTTTAGTCATCCGAATTCCTAGTATGGCTCATTATGTGATAATGCAACGCATATAACAACCAAATAAAACTCGTTCAGAAACTGACCAAAATGAGTAACGGAGAAAATAACTCAAATGCACGAAGCCAAAACCAAGGCCAAAGTGCTGCTGGAGGCAGCGCGAGTGGGAGTGGATCAGCGAGCACGGCTAGCGCTTCTACAGCCCAACATCGATCCAGAAATGCAGCCAGTCAGGAAATACTAGATGCCGGCAGCGATGAACGGGGTATGCTATATGAATTTCAAGCTCAGCTGTTGTCTAGCTGGCCTAAGCCTGGCAAACCAATAGGCACTGCGAGTAAAACTAAACTAAAGACAAAATTTTGAAAATTTCAAATAAAATCTCCACTTATATTTCCTTTCCGTGTGTTTTGTAGCTGCTGGCACAACGGCTGCAACAAAGGAGAAACGCAGCTGGTTCTACTCGCTGACCAGGCGTAAAAAGTCGGATTCTGCGTTAGCCAGCTCTAGCTCGAGCTCAACAGTTGCTGTCACCACAGCCGCTGGCGGCTCCCAATCAGCGCAGCTGCAAAACAACAACAATGAACCACTGGGCGCCGCCATGGAGGCCAGCTGTTCTAGTGCCGCTGCATCCGATATCAATAGCAGCAGTCTGGGTGGCGCTTTGCGAAAGCGTAAGGATAAGAAGAACATGCTCTCACGTATCCGGAAGAAAATGGTATTGGGCCTGAGTGCATTGCGCAACTGGCACTCCATGGGCAATGATTGTGATTGTGATGGCGGCACCACAGATGCCATGTACGAATTTCTGGCGCCACCCATACGTGTGGAGCCGACATTGCCCTTCACCCATGACTACATGCGCTTCATAAGAAAAAAGTGGCTGGAGCGGCAGGATCCGCCAAATGAGGTCATGTACAAGGCATGCTCCGAAATGCTCAAGTATGTGGAAAACCTGTTTTTATGAATCATGCCCTAAGAGATGACGAATGAACTTAAATTCTTACTTTCTTTCACTTCTTCTTTTGTTTACAGTCAAGTTTGGTACTGGGGCGAGATTTCGCGTCGCGATTCGCAGCGTCAGCTGAGCGATAAGCCCACCGGTTCGTTTCTGGTGCGGGACTCGGAGTCGACCGGTTCTCATTTTACGCTAAGCTTTCGCATTTTGAACGTGACGCTGCACTACCGTCTGGAGTATCGTGATCAGTTTTGGCATTTTGAGGAATTGAAATATGAGTCGATTGTCGAGATGATTGAGGACATTTTGCATCGCTGCACCAATGATAATTTCGTATGCTTCGTGAAGGTGCCGAACGAAATGCAGCCGCCATTTCCAGTGATACTCAAGTATCCATTGAGTCGCTACTTGAACATGCCCAAGCTTCAGGATCTATGTCGACGCGTGCTGCAGAGACAGATGCCAGTCAGTGAGCTCGCCCGGCTGCCAGTGCCAGCACAGATGCTCGAGTATCTGTCCGTGGAGCGTGAATTGGTATTTCAAAGCTAGGCAAATGGTGGTCCTGGTATTAGCTTTAAATCCAATGTTAGAAACCAAAGAAGGTTAGCAGAGGCAGCGACACAATTAAACGGCACTGCCACAAATTATAGATATATATAGTTGGAATTGGAATTGCTTGATCGTGATCGTGGAAACTTGAGATCGAAATCGAAAAGAAACAAAAACACTCAAACACATGCCATAGATAAAACACAAACAAAATGTGACTAGTGTTTCACTTGCATTTGTAAACAAGCAATTAAAACACGCACAAACGAGAAATTGACACTATATATAGGTATATATACATACAAACATATACCATAATGAATACTGTGCATATGTATGAGTATATGCATGTTTTTAATCTATAACTGTATTAAATATATTTGTATTCTTATATACACACACGTATATACATAGAGATATCCATAGAATACACATATGTTATTGGCCAAAATTAGTCTATTAACTCGTTTTCCATGGTCAAAGTCTGTAAGCCTAAACGATATTGATACTAATTTATACTAAATATATATAAATATATATACAATGTGTGTGCTCTTTCAAGAAAAGTATTTGTATAAATTAAAGTTATACATAAGCTCAAAATATTTGTGTTATACTATATATGCATTTGATTCCTACTGTCAAAACTAACTTTTGCTATTATACTAGATATAAATATGCTATACATATATACATACATATATGTATATATATAGATCACTTGAACTGTGCGGCATTTGTTTAACTATTGTTACAACGTGTATTGACATTTATTTAACACTAAAAAAAAAACGGCATCTATAATTTATGTTTGCATATATTTTATCAAATAAAATTAATATTAATATTATCTACATTAGTATAATTAACTTATAAATCTCCGCTATTCTCATCACTGCTGCTGCTGTCTGTGTCCTGCTCGCTCGGTGTCTGGCATCCAGCGTCTTCGTCCGTGAGATCCCCTAGACCGTATATCCGGTATGCCTTAAAGCCTTCCACCTTTTTGCCATCCACATAGTTGAAGCTGAAGAAACACCTACGACAGAGATATGAAGGATCGTGCAGTTGCCGGCGTGACTGCTCCACTATGAAATGATAGCCACGCAGTCCGCACATATAGCACGCGCGTCTATTGAATGTACTGAAGCTGCGCAGAAAGGGATAGTGACTGGGGTTAATAAATTTACTGCGCGGCCTCAAGACCTCCACCTGCGAGAACACAAACAAATGCTCGCAATTGCCATGATGCAGATACTGTACGGGTGCACCCAGCCTAATGGTTAGATCGATGAAGCGCGTCGCCTCCATTGAAGCCACCTGGAACTCTTCTCTCTCCATGCCGTGTGCTGTGCGTGCCCACTTGATTACAGTTTCAGAGTAGTCACAGTTGTTGGGATTTCGGGTATCGTTATAGAAGACTCCGTTGATGAAGAAGTAGCCAGGATCTGTCTCGAGCACAGGCAGCGGCGCATCTGGCTGTTCGCTAATATCGACAAATCGTTTGCCATTACAGATGCAAGAGATCTTATCTCGTAATTCGCTTAAAAAATTGCTGCCCAGGCAGACGAACTCTTCCGAAAAAACGGGACGCTCCAGCTTGTAGCTACGATGCGCTGCACGCGGTGGCCTATAAAACCGAACGGTTAACTCCAGCTCGAATTGCTCAAGGGTCTTCCACATTTCAGACGAATCATCACTTGGCGACGGTTCGGCGTTCAAACGATAGCTATATTGTGTTCGGTTAAATGGATTTTTGCGGGACTTCGCCTTGTGCTCATATATGGCTGTATAGGTCTTTGGCACAGGCTTATTCATTTTCGGTTTCGATAGATTGGGACGCTGTATTTCGGCACCCAGCTCAAATGTGTAGATTGCATTGTCGTCTGGGGCATCAATCAGCTGCAAGGAGCAGCTTTCAGCAACTTCTGCTGAGACAGGTGAGGCGTCTGAAAAGTAGAAAGGAACATTCTCTGAACTTTTCTCATTTGGATAATTTAACTTCTTGGCATAATCCTCTAGGAATTGACGTAGATTTATTGATGGCTGGAGTGGTTCGAGTATGTTTTCCATAATTTACTAAAAAGGAAAATCAAATTATTATAAGTACTTTTTTAATTGAGATGGCAGCGTGTCACGTACGATGTACGTTCTAATCGTTTTATAATTATAGGCATTTAAAAGCGTGCAATTTAACAATTAATAAGCGTTTGTATAGTTAAAAAATGAAATCAACATAAATATATCATAAAATACATTTGCTAAGACTTTTTAAAATGCTGGAACACGCTCCCATCTTAAACGTAAACATACATTGCTTATTGTTCCTCGACAAATTTGTCAATCGCTTCTTTATATGTAATATTTAGCTTTAGAGTATGTGGCATTGATTCCTGTTGCTGTTCCTCTTCCGCCTTAATATCTTGTGGCAGATTCTCAATGTAGACCCGATCAAAACTGATTACCTTGTCGGATTTATTTAGATATTTATATTGCTGTTGGCAAACTGGTTCATAAAGTGGATCGCCAACTGCGCTCTTTGTGTCTTTTTCGAAGAACACATTAGTGCCCATAGCCATGTCATAGGAACCTGCAAATACATATGGCAAGGTTAAAAAAAGTCCCTTTTTGATTTGTGAACAAACATTCCGTAGGCTATACCTTTATATATACAGCCATTGATTTCGGCCATAGGTGTATCGCTTTCAATGGCAATTATGCGAATAGCAGCATCCTCGTGCTTTAGCTGATGCGGTGCTAGATGATTTTTAAAGTCAGCATACACTAAATATTCGGTTTCTTCGTACTCAGAGTCAGAATCAGTCATGTTATTAGAAACTGAATGCGGGTATGTTTAGTTAATGCAGTATGTTTGTTATCGATAACTAGCATGCTGTCAGCGATTATTTAAGTCTATATACCTTCTCTAACACTGAGGCGAATACATTTTCGCTGCGTTTTTTTGCGTTGACAAAATTGTTTCTGTGAAAATTTTGTCGGACTGTTGTAAATACAGAAATATTAGTAAATTTAAATGCTGCTGTTAGTGTCCGAAAGTGTGAAATAGATAAATATTGAAACAGCCCAATCAACAAATTATCAAAACTAATATTAAGATAAAGTTGTTTCCGTCGTTGGTAGCGTGTGGATTATCATTGGGCGGCCATTTTGAGCGAACGCATAAACGTCAGCAGCAGCAGCGCCTAGCCTTGTATTTTTGACGTAAGTGCTGCTGAAATTGTAATTTAATGCGGGAAATGTTTCTGTATATCCATATACAAAACAGATAAATATGCATGTGTATTGTTGTTTAATTAAATGCAATAACAGTGCCAAATTGAGAATTTATGACACGTACATTACTATAAAGTGCGCCTCTCTTTGAGCATGACCAATAATCGAAGTTTCGCTTGCTCTTTTGCTACACGTTCTCTTTGCAGTGAATTATTAACATCGATAAATACCACAGTGCCGCTGTAAGCTTTTACGCGACAAAGTTAAGCTTAGTAAATATAAACAAAACACCAAAGTTCAAAACTCCCATCTTCCCTCAAATCAATACAAAATAATTATAATGGCTGATGAAGATATTACTTTAAACGAGGATCAGCTTCTGGAGTCACTGGAAGAGACAAACGGCGAGCAGGAGACTGGGATTACGACTGAAGCAGAGGTAAGCGTAAGACGCCAACAAACAAGTTTTTTCCCATTCGCCTTGAATGCAAAAGCACATTGAAATTCTCGGAAAAAGCTTTGTCTGCTTGCAAAGCTCGCGAAACAAAGCGGCAGCCATTTTCGACGCGTCTTCTCCCCAGACACACATCGAGTCGGCTAAATCATAAAGCATTCCTGGCATTATTATAAATATAATATAAAAAAAATAGAAAACCAAATTTATTAAATTATTTCATATATTTAATTGAAATATTAAAGGAGGAAGGCAGCATGCAAATCGATCCAGAACTGGAGGCTATCAAGGCCCGCGTCAAAGAAATGGAGGAGGAGGCTGAAAAAATAAAGCAAATGCAATCAGAGGTAGACAAACAAATGGCCGGCGGTTCGACAACCGGTTTGGCCACTGTGCCGCTTTCACTTGAAGAGAAGCAGGAGATTGACACACGGTCCGTGTATGTGGGCAATGTTGACTATGGTGCATCTGCGGAGGAGCTGGAGGCACATTTTCATGGTTGCGGCACCATAAATCGTGTTACTATCCTATGCAATAAGGCTGATGGACATCCGAAAGGTTTTGCCTACATTGAATTTGGCTCTAAAGAATATGTAGAAACGGCGCTGGCCATGAATGAAACACTCTTCCGAGGACGTCAAATTAAGGTGAGTGCTATCTAAATATGTGTATAAAAGAGTTTTATATATAATGTTCCTTACCATTACTAGGTCATGTCGAAGCGGACCAATCGACCTGGACTTTCAACCACAAATCGATTTGCACGCGGCAGCTTCCGAGGCCGAGGAGCTCGCGTCTCCCGTGCCTGCTGTCATTCAACCTTCCGTGGCGCTCGACGCGCAATGTAAGGGTTAAATATATACATAGTTCCGATATTAAGATGTTTTGGCTAATTCCGGTCTGTTTTTCGTTTCAGAAGAGGTTACCGCGGACGCGCCAATTATTATGCGCCGTATTGATTTTTGTTTTCTTAACTTATGTTTAGTAAGGTAAGTTGACTGATGATAATCAAAAACGAACTATAGTCTGACTGGGTATGCCTTGTAAAATGGAAAAAGTGCTCAAATCCAAGGATTTAAGCACTTTTGTTATTTACTATAGCATTTATGCCCTCCTTTGTAAATACGAAACAGTCCGCTTCCAATTGCCATAGGGTATTGCCTGCCATCGATAGTTAGCCAAAACAATCTTACTATGAGGCTCCTTAACTGGGCTATATTATCCAGCTATGTATATATACAGCATCTTTTAAGAGAGTGCACTATTAATTGTACACATCTTAAGTCCTTAAGAAATGCGTGTGTTGTTAATAACAATTATCCGTTCTTTGTCAGTTTGGCATTGTGCCTGATTCCTGTCTATTGCCTGCCTTTCTACATTCTAAAATGTTGGGATCGCTTTAATAACAACTAATTAGTTTTATTTTTAACATATTTCTTTAATCCAATTAATATTTGATTTCAGATTTTTTTAATATATAATTTCAAAAAACATTTTATTGCCAAAAACTTCTTTGATAACAAAAAAAAAGAAAAGAATACAAGAGAACGCCAACAAAAAAAATATTATGCATAGAAATAATAGAAAAAAAAACCACTGCAGAGGCGCAAAAAAAAAAAATAAGATGAAACCCAATAAAATGAAAATCAACAAGGAAAAAAATGAAAATATATAAATAAAAAAAAACCTAACTTGGCTATAATGTTTTTTGAAGCACCCAAAACACCACAAACACCCCTTATCACACTTTTTAATTTTTCATAAAACTGTATACATATATATACAAATTATATATATTTATACATATATAAACTATAAAACTAAAAAAAGTGGAGAGCAAAAAAGTAAACCATGTAAAAAAAGAAGACAGAAAAGCAGAATAAAAATAAAAACAAAAGAAGTTCTAAAGAAGGCAAAACAAAAAAGAGAGGATTAAAAAAAAATAAAGAAAAAAGATTATGAAAAAATTGCACACAAAAGGAAAAGATGAAAAAACACCACACAAAATAAAAAATTAAAAGCAAAAAAAAAAAACAAGATAATTAATAAAAGTCTTGCTAATGTTTCCGAAAAAAAAATCTATACATAATAGTATACAAAGAAAAATTTGATAAAACCGAAAAAGATGAAGAAAAATATAAACCAATTAAACAACATTTCTATGCCTTTCCTTTGGGTGGGACAAGGTTTTGGGAGGACGAAGAAGAAGATGATGATGAAGAAGAAGCACAGCTCCGGCTGTCCACAAACTGGGATGAACTTTTCATTGGCCGGCATTATTATGGTCTTGCATAATATTAGGATTATATAGTTATATATATATAAACGTATATATTAGATCATGTTTCAAAATAAAGTAAATGTTGGCTTTATGGCTCGCTATTATACGAATTTTATTTCAATTTTAAAGAAAATGCAGCAAATAGCACAAAAAGTTTTAGTGGTGCACGCGCAACATTTGGATTGCTGGCGGCGATTGCATGACGGGATGCGCCGCCTCCTGGCGATGGCGGTGGCGGCGCCGTTGCATTGATTGCGGAATGTTTAGTTCTTCTTCTGGATGGCGGCCTGCACCAGGGGCAGGTTCTTGCTGAGGAAGCACTTGAAGCCGCGATAGGCCCAGGCGCTGGCCGGCGACTTCTGTTCGTTCTTATCGGCGCACTTCTCCACATCGGCCTTCAGTTGGGTCTTGTCCTCGCGTCCCTGGCCCAGCTGGGCGACCAGGTTGTCGACCTTGAAGCCCTTGGTGTCATCGAACAGATCGAATTTGTTGAAGATGCACTTGATGTAGTTGCGTGTGATCTCATCGTCGGGATACTCGAAGCCCTTGTATTTGGCAATGAGGGCTTCGGTCACCTTGTTGGCCTCGGCGCACTCCTTGCGCACCTTCTGCAGATCCTCGGCGGTGCGCAGCTTGTACTCGGCAGCAGATGCCTGGCAGAGAGGAGTGGACATTTAGCTAGAGGAAAGTATACTCTGAAATGCGTGGGCGTGGCACACTTACCAGGCCAATCAAGGCGCACAGTAGAATGGCAACGGCGTTCTTCATATTTGCAGGATTCTTTTTTGGTTTCTGTTTTGGATTGTGCTTTAGCTGTGTGGTTGGACACCAGAGTGATAACTAATGATTGACTGCCCTGTCGCTTGGGCTTTTATACGAATCATTGGGGGCGCGCACGACTCGAGCCACCGAACGCCACCGCGTCGTGTCGCTAGCGATGGAGGGTTGGCCGCAGAAGGGGGTAGCTTCAATTGAGTCAACGATTTGTACGGCTACGTCGAAAATTTCAATTGGATTTGGAATTTAAGTCGACTTCAAAAGTCACTAGTACTTAACTAAGGCTGAGATTAATATGACTTATCTATTTGCATATATAAGTATGTATATATGTAATACATATTTACATTTACTTATATTGACTGCATTTGCTAGAAATTGTTCTACGCTCTTTGACCTCAGAATCAATTTGACATTTATCTGTAATCATAATCATTATTATAATCTACCTAAGATTACCGTATATAATCAGTGTGGTGTAGCTATATATCTATCTATGTACATGGATAAGTGAATATACATATATGTATGCACATGAATATTTCTTTGTCCCTTTACTTATGCACATCACTGTTTTGTTAGGTATTTTAAGTACTTAATGACATGACCTAAATTTTAATTAATTAGAAACTTATAAATTGCGCTTTTTTTAGAAAACTAAAAAATGATTTAATAAATAAAAGATCAAATCAATAATTGTTGAACAGAGAAAAAACTAGTTTTTGGAAAAATAATAGAGTAGTAGGTCAATGACAATTTAGTACTCACATATAAATTGGCCTAATTAAAAATAGATTAATTATACGTATGTTTTTAGCTAAATTTGCAAATTATAGAAGTATTCACATATTTATGTTTTTTATTCATTTATCTTTTCTTAAGCGTGTAAATCCTCATTTAAATTAATTCAATTAAATATCAATAGCATAATTCTAAATTTATTACAATAGAAAAGAAAATGTGGTTGAATTAAAATATTAATTAAAGGAACAAATAAATTTACGTATATTTAATATCTTTTATAAGTTTTAAGTGAAGATATGTTCTATAAAATATTAAAACGTATACATAAAAAACATTTTTTTATATTTGTTAATCATATTATAGCTGAGCAGTAAATGTAAAAAAATTTGTTGCTCTGCTGCTCAGTATCCATCAACCCCTATATACAAATATATATACATATATATAAACACTATGTACATACATACATATATATGTTCTATATCAGCTGAAATTTATACATATACATATATACACATATCTCTTCTCCTTCTACTCATGTAAACCCTTATTATTTCCAGATGTTTCTTTATGGAAATCATGCTAAATCTTTTTTGATAACCTCTGATAATGTCTGCCTATTAGGCTACTCTCCGGCTTTTGTATGCTGATCATGATGATGACAATGCGAATAACGATAGCGATGATGATCATCATCATTGTCATCATCATGCTGCTGTTGCAGTTGCCTGCCGCCTGGCCTGTTGCTGCTGTGCTTTAAATGAGCATTAATTGAATTGGCAAAAATTACGTTGACAAATACTACTTGCCCTCATCATGTCTCTGCTGAGAGATCTCAATTCCCATTCCCCATACCTCACTCCCAAAAATCAACCCCCACCCCAGCGGCGACCCCCCTTGTTTGGCCCACTGCTTCCACAACGTTGATTTGATTGTGCGGCTGGCGCTGGGGCTGTTTGGTTTGTTCATAATCGCAGATTTTCTACTCGAATGTTCTCATGTTTATGTATGCATGCTAGACGATACAATGCCCACAGCAACAGCAACAACAACAACAACAACAACAACTTGTACATACAACAATAACGACAACAATTGTGTCTATGAGCATTTGAAAAATTTCCACTGCAACTTGAGTTTATGTTTTTTATTTATTATTTAGTTTTGTTGCCGTTTGGCTGCCCCGTTTGACTGAGTGTCGCCTAATTTTTCTGTTTACGAATAAAACTCATCTCTTATTCAAAATTTACAGCGAACCAGTTCGAGCAGGTTCTCTCCTAACTATGTGCTGTAATCTGAACTGCATCAAGGCAACAATTCTGATTAAAACAGTTATTAGTTATTTGAAACTAATTGGAAAAGAACCAAAAGTGAATATTTTGGTGTACACAGCCTGGAGTTCATGGAGGATGTTTCGCTTTGTGTGCCAAAACTAGTTCGAATTTGAACAGGATATTTAATTGATTTTTAAGCCGAGTCGGTCAACTGAATCTTTGATTTATGCAATATACAAAGTTCTTAAAAGTGGTTTATTAAATCTATGCAATAAGAAATCCGAACTAATTATTTGGTTTATAAATACCATTCATAAAGTTAGTTTTCCCATCCTATACAATTGCCTCTCTTTGTGAACTAATGACAACTCCAGCTCTCGTTTTTTCCTTTTCCAATTAAAATAAACATTATTTTAAAGCCTTCAATTATTTTTTATTTAAACATTTGAAATATTTATTCTTTTATACGTATATATATATATATTTTTTTTTTTCAGGCTAAGCAGATTTCAATATCATAGTTTTTTAAGCAATGATTTAGGCCCATCAGCGCAAGAACTTAATTGTAAGCATAGGTATTTTATCATTATCTGATCATCACAACAAAATTATATATTAATAAATTATAAATGTAAGCGAAATACGAAAGAATTATTTTTTAAATTATAAATCACAAGATTTCAATATATCGTAGCTCAGGAATTTCAGTTTACAGTTTGATTTATAATATCTATAAAAATTAAAATAAATAAATTCAGTTCGAATTTTAAAACAAATCATTTAACTAAACAGTATTTTCTTTTAATGCAAATAATAGGCTAAATCACTTTCTCTGGTTGTTGACGAAAAAAAAAAACAGCTTAATAATAATAAATTTAATTAAATATAAGGTATACATAAGCATAATGTACTCAGAAATTTCAATTAAACTTCTCTTATTGTTTTTATAACTCAAATATGTGTGCGAAATATATAACTCGATAGTAAGCCTTTGACTACATTAGTGAATGGGAATATTGTTTAGATATATGTTTAGATAATGTAAGTTTTTTTTTTTGTGTGATTCAATCATCTCATTTCTCTGGAATGGATTTCAGTGTGGCTGCATCTGATTTATTTGGCGGCACCAGCTCCGTAGCCAGCTCGGGTAGATCCGGTATGGGATCACGCCAGTAGTTAAAGTTGGAGAACTCAATGTCAACTTCATCGTGCTTTACGGGTGGAAATAGCTGATCCACAATATAGGTCATGCTGCAGTACCTATAAAAAAGTAAGCAAAATTAATAAAGTCAAGTCAATAAACAACATGAAATATGCAACATCATTGAATGTTGGCCATTGGCTCAGCGCCCAAGCGTATGCAACAGAAATTCGATGTGGCGCAAACTAACCTCAAACATAACCAAATAAAACGTAACCTCAAAGCTGCGCAGCAACCTAACCTAACCTCAAACTCATGCCACGTCTTTTGCAAAGGCAAATAAATCTCAATGATAAACAGCCAAAGAGTATGCACACATTTTATTTGTGTATAAAACTTAGAAAGTAAATAAGAAAACAACTTACAGATATAAGGCTTACGATCTAATTCTAATTGTTCGCCAGCTTTTAAGACTAGGCATACTTCGTGTGGGTTGTCAACTTATCGCTAATAATAGTATAATAATAATAATAATAATAATAATAATAATAATGATGGGGAGTCGAAGCTATCAAAGTTTTGCTCCCTCCTATAAAGCTAATTATAGAAACTTAATGGCTAAAAATATTTGAATATCACAACTTTAGGATAATTCCCATATTTTTGACTTAGTCATGGGTTAGGTTAATTTAGCCATTTTGTTGGCGATTCTAATAGTATCTCATTTTTGGCACCATGTCTGCCGCCCATAATGAGGCTTATATCCTGATCATCAGCTTCATCAACGTCAACGTCAACGTCGTCATCATTATCATCATCTTCATCATCATCATCATCATTATAGGTGGTGAATTGTAGTTCATCAGACAATTCCTCATCGGTGCGATATTCGTATTCATCGTGTTGCGTCAACAGGGGAAAGTACTCATCGACCTCGAGCGACTGATTGATGTAGCCACTATAAATTTGACAATCGAAATGCTTGAGTAGAATTTGTTTGTACTCTCCACGCTCTTGATCTTGATTTGCGATTGATAGTGCGAATTTTTGGATTTTTGGTAGTACATTAAATGAATTTGCCTAAACATACAGATCTACATACACACGCTATATAGATGGTAGTACTTATTAACTATAGACAGACCTAGCTTTGCTTTATGAGGTTAATCAATTAACAGAATTCGTATGTGGCATGAATTTGCAGGCTTAAGCTCCCTAATAACCATCTTTTGAAAGCACATGAAAGCTATTAGCGAGCCTTTATACAATGAGTGTAAATACAATTTAATGAGCTTTAAGGCACATAGCTTATCTAATTAGCTTTTCGCTGAGCCAAAGGTTAACAAATGTATGAATGATTGGACCACAACCATTAAAAATACATATATGTATATATGATGTATATACGATATTTTGTACTTACGATGACTGGAATGTTTGGGTCAATTCGTGTTTCAGCTCGCCCTTCGTGTTGATCGTAAATATACGCATAATGGGTATACCAACAGCTCGATAGGCCCACACATCCTGCATAATAGAATATTTCTTATAGAGTATTCAATCTCTTACAAATAATAGAGTTAGACTTACATTAATACGATTGCCGTAGCCCGCATAGAAGGGATCCTTTTTCGGGAATAGATCGCGAATGTCCGATAGACAAGCGATCTTAAATTGTTCCGGTTTCTTTTCAATGACTTCCCGATGAAAGGCCGAAATCAATGAAGTGGGATTCAAGAGCAATGGGCCTTCGGGCAGCATTACATTCCCCTGCCTGATCGATCTCAAATATTCACGTGTCACGCGTGATTGGCCAATGGCGCGTGCCGATAGGTACAGCAACTTGTAGCCATTCTGTTCAATTTTTGAAAAGAGTTGAGCAACGCCCAATTGCGCCCAATCCTTGCCAACCATGGGCAATATGTGTCCCAAAACATCTGATTTGGTAATCGTGCCATCAATGTCCGATATGACGACCTTATCATTATGCTTCCAGCGGAACAAATAGCACTTGCAGCGCGTTGTGCCCTGATAAGCGGTCGTTACACTGAACTCGATTTCATTTATGCCCTCCTTAAGATTTAGTTTTTTCTAAATATAAAGAGAAAGAAAGATTAGATCTGGAAAAATAAATATGGTAAACGCTAAGAAAATACTCACAATAGCCGATGAGCTGAGACGCAAAGTTTTCTTGTAGCGCTCCTTTGGCTCATCGCTCTTATTGGAGCCACTGGTCAGTTCTTCCAGATTATCCACCTGTGTAGATGTATTCTCGGGGTTTACCAATGAATCAGTCTTGCTGAGCGTTGGATCGCTCATGTCTGGAGAAATGGGGCGTGATGTTTGTGTGCTGACAGCTGCCTGATCGCCATCTAAAATATATTAACATGAGATTAAAATCAATTAGGAGAACGCTTTTAAAATAACCTTACCCTTCTCATCCTTAGAAATTGAACCATTCTTATGCATTTTTGCCTGATTAGGCACTGCATCTTGAGATCTACGCCAGCTCCACCAGGAACGCTTGGTTTGACCAGGATGTCCCGTTTGGTGCGACGCTTCCGGCTTGTCATCATCCGCTGCTTGGGTCGAAGGCGAGATCAGCTGTTCTATGGCATCCTGAAAGCAAATAATATGAAGCATTAAAGAGATTTCCAGGTAAAATAGATAGTAAGATCCTTCTATCCAAGCATTAATTAACACTTACATCAGTTAGTTGCTTCTGGAATGTTATCATTGTCATTACAATGGGACATGCAGCCGTCCAGGTATAGTATTTGCCATTCAGACGTACAACTAGATTTGGTGATGCGAACATATTTGGATTTTTGCATACCTAAATTAGGGATACAGCGGGTCGCAGGCAAGCATGAATATACATGTATTTGTATTTGTATTGATTTGTAGTTTTTTTGTTATTGTTATGTGCAGCGTGCTGTGCTGTGTAATGCCAGCATTGTGGGTGGAGGTGCAAACACAATTGCACAAATAATTAGTTACAAATTTATCGATTGATAGCGATTATTATCTATATTTTATATTATCCTGATATATGTACATATGAATAATATCACTAACAATGTACATATTAATAATATTTCTGGTTAGTGATAATATCAAAATCATATTCAAAGCTAATATAAAATATCGCTTCTTCGCTACCAATCGATAGTCGTGTAAGCGGTTAGGGCTGAAACGGTTTTGATACGATTAAACTTACATCAGCATAGGTGACCAGCTGTCTATCGAAATCGTCATCCTTGGGTGGTGCACCATTCTCCTGCATGCCGCACATGGACATGGCCACGAAGTCCAAGTATCTATTCAAATATAAATTCAGTTGATAAGACATAAATTCTTGATAGTCGCGCTGCATTCGCATTCGCCGAACAGCTACCCACTTCTTGCTATGTGGTGCGGGCTGTTTGTTGTGGGTCTCATCAAAGTCCGAATCCAAGCTCTTATGATTCTCCTCCAGTGAACTGGGTGAATGGGGCAGACTAGTGCCATTGCCACTCTCGCGATCCGACTCCTTGGGCTTGGGGCTGGGAAAGTAGAGAGCTACCATTTCTGGATCCATGCTGCCCACTTCCAGATCAGATAGATAGATATCGCCCGTCTCTGCGGCGCCCTCCTTGCGCAAACGATTCGCCCGACGCATAAAGCTAAACATATTGCTTAGCATCCAATGTCGCTCGCTCTGCTGGGCATCTGTACCACTGGCCGCGCCCTTGGCCTGCTCCGGTGTGGGCAGTTCCCCCCATTTCCACAACGTGCTATCCTCAACGTCCAGATGACGTTTCTCACGCATTGTGGTCTCGAGTTCGCTGTCACTTTGGATTGGCGTCGATGGTCGGCCCGCATTCCGGCCAGCGCCAGCGGCTCCGATGCCCGTTGGTGTGGTTATCTCAGTGTCGCTGAAGAAATGTATGTCCAGATCATGGCGCATCGAATTCGAGGGCGTGGCAGCATGGCTCAGTTCGCTTGACGGACTATCATTGCCCGTGTGTGCGGTTAGGAGTGCTCCCGATGCCTGCTCATCATTGGAGGAGGAATTGGTGTTCGTATTGGATTTCAGAGCCACCACATCGGTCTCATCAATGTTGCTGACTAGCATTGAGTTGATAGAGTTGGCGTCTGCTGTGGTCGTGTCGCCGCCAGCGGCGCTGCCCGCAGAGCTGCTCGATGATGCCTTACGTTGTGTATTCTTCTTCTTCATTTGCGACTTCTTGCGTCGCTTCTTTGTCTTGTTTTTGGCATCGTCCTTGTTGGCATCGTTGGATACCGTTGTGGATGCCTCTGCAGTTGTGCTTGTGGGTGTTGCTATCAACACCTCCGGCTTGGCGGATGGAGGTGTTTGAACTTCCTTTGCTTCGGTCTGGGATGTTGCCTGTGTCTTCTCAACGCTTTCTGGTTGTGGTTCCTCTTTGGTTCCCGTTTCGGATTCGGTTTTTTTATCTGACGATTTCTCTAGCTTTTCAGGCTGCTTTTTCTCCAGGAATAGCTCCTCATGCTCGGCCCACTCCTCGCGCATCTTTTGTGTGGTATACTCCTTAAGTGATTCATTCAATTTACGCCGCTCCAACATGTTGTCTGTGTGCCTGGAGGATACAGAGAAGCAATTGAATTAGAAAATTGATAAATGTGATGGAGAACAAGATTTCTAGCAAAGCATTCACTACCTGCGGTGCGTATAGTCGGAGGCCTGATTTTCGAATTTCTTACTGCCCTCGTTGGCAATTTCCTTTGGCTCCTCCTTGGAGAGATCAATTGAGTTGCGACGGGGCATTGGCAATGGTATTTGCAAATCATCGCTAGCGGTTCTATAATGATAATGATAATGATCTTTTAATGTAGCTAGCTGCAATTTGTCAAATGGAATTTAAAAATAGAATGACCACCTACTTGTCAGCTGTGCGCATATCCTCCAGGGTGTCTATGCTCTTGTTGTTCAGAGATTGCAGAAAGCTCTTTGGTATGGGTGAAGTGGCTAGATTGGCGGGCAACTCATCATCGTCGTCCTCCAGGCATTCCTCCACAAAGAATGCCTCACCCGAATCGCCCAATTTCATTTGTATATCAACGGGCACGCCATTGATTTCAATGTCCACCTTAAAAACAAATAGTTCAAGTGTATTACTCCCTGTTCTCTCCCAGTATCTTTCTTTACCATGCTACTTACCACCTTCTCGCGACTGCGCAGCACGCCCAGCTTGCCGAAGCGCACGTGGAAGGGCGAACAGACGAATTCGCCATCGGGCTGCTCTACGGCGATCACATCGATGGCTCCAGTCAGTGTGGCTGCATTGATGTCATTGTAAAAGTCTTGCAAATTGCTGAAAACGCGCGCCAAACTGTTCATTTTGCTCGAACTTTAATAGTCGTCGAAATGCGCACACTTGTATCTTATATCGATAGCTTGTTATATTCGAATCAATTCGATTTAATTCTTATTTGCTCTTAGATCGTGTGCGTGTCTCTTCCGCCTTGAATTGTAGGTGTGCGAGTGTTTTTAGTCAGTATACATTTTATTGCACGTGATGTTGCTGGCGTCCATTCGCTTTGCTAGTGAATCAATCGTTGGCAACTGTAAATGACAGAAAAAACACAGCTGTAAGTCATACAGTGATCTATTTAAATATTATATGTATGTATTCTGATTCTCTTTCCGTTATGCTTGTAAAAATAAACCCTTGCGACATCTAGCCAAATTATTTGTGACATTTCAAATGTAGCGAAAACAAGTGCAATAAATGCAAAAGATGAGAGGAACAAGAAATTAGCTAAAAATACTCTTATTTTTATTTTGTTGTCGCTGTTTCAATTTGCGCGTGTCTTCCTTCTGCTTCGCTCAGAAAGTCAAGGTTAATGCATTCCGAATGCAAGCAAAACAAATACGAAGAGCGAATTCGAATTCGCTTTGGGTGTTTACGTATGTATGTACATACATATATTTTTTGGGCAGACCATATTGGGACATATTGTGTAATATTTGTCTTTATGTTAAGAGCGATATATCCAAGCTACATAGCGTATATAGCGATATTTTAATTAATACAGAAATAAACATCAAAGGGAAAGCCTGCCCACGCAGTACATGTGACATTCAAAGTGCATTCACTTGGCTTATTTGCTTCAATACAACAATAAAGTTCACGAACAAACAATAACTCTACGCAAGGTATAATTGTAATGCTTGTTGCCTTTGGCAACAGCAACAGAGCTTTCTGTACATATGTATGTGTGTGTGTGTCTGTACACGTGCATATCTATGCAAGTGTTATCGATAAAAGAAGTTGGTGTGATAGTTAACCGTTTTAGTGGCGTGTTTTACCGATTTTATGCTTGTGTGTAATAAAACAATAATATCGCAGAGAGACATACAGGCACAGACACACTCACACAAACACGCTTATTACTCATTTCTCATGCCACTGGAAATAAACATCACGCGATTTCACAAAACGGCATTCAAAGCAAGCACACATATATACATAATAAATACATTTATAGATTTGTAAGTTAATAACAAGTAAAATATTGTGTTTATCAGCATAGTGACATGCTGATTAAGCTGTGCGTTTCGTAGTATATATGTAGGTATGCGTAGATAAACCGTGCTCAACTGCTCTACAGACCACTAACGCACACATGCAAAGTGTTTGGAATTCAATAATTAGAATTTGCCCGTCTACTGTTAAGGTCAATGTACAACTGTGTTCAGCATGTTTTTAGCTAGATCTTTTTTTTATTTTATCATTGAACTTTTATTGTTTTTGCTTATCGCGCAGGAAACGGTCAAAAATATTATGAGGCGCCTATTATTCTTGCACTTAGACATGTTCGTCGTGTAGTCAGTTGATAAGAGTTTTGATAAACGCGCTTTCTTTTGTTCGATTGAATAATGACAACTAGAGCTGTTTAAATAAGCTAAATTTGGTTCATTCCAATAGTAACGCAGACAACACGCCACCTATCACGCGTCGTCGACTTCAGCGTTACTTTCACCTGCAAACAAAACAAAACAAAACGCAACTCAACGCAACGTGCGAAAAGCCCCAAGCAAAACAAAACGCATAAAAAAAACTTGCAAATCAAAAAGCTTGTGCAAGAGAGAGAGCGAAAGGGATAACGATGCAATTACTCGCCGCAGCAACAACTGTTTGCGAACCAGACGGCATTCAAATGGGCAAAGCGAATTAGTCGTAAGCAGCGCAGCGAGCCAACCTATTGACGTGTATTAAACAAATTTTTAATGTTTGTGTTTATTTATTAGTCGCAAAGCTGTTTAGTAAATTGTGTTGAGTCACGATCAAAGTCCAAGACATGCACACACACTCCTATGTAGTTAAAACAAGAACATGAACAAAGTCGAACAATTTTGTGTGCCAAGAAAAATCACATTGAATTGCACGTTTCTAGTATAATGGAAATTTTATGTGTCCGCTACCTTCGTTGTCTCTTTTTTTTGTTCTTCTTTTGGTTTTTCTTCTTTAAAAATCTATTTATTTCGCTTTTGTGGTTTCCTTTGTATTTTGTTGAATTTTCACGAAAAACTAGGAAGGCCAGATTAGGCCTCACTCTATTTCTGCAGCAGCAGCACTTTAAATTGTTTGCTTTATTTTATAAATATTTGTATTTTTTGTTTTTTAAGTTGGCACAATTTGGTTTAGATCTTTACAAAATGTTTAACAAGTATTATTTTGTTTCTTTTTGTTGAATGGTTTTATTTCCAAGTCTTCTCGTCTTGCTTGCTGCTTCGACGACTGCGTTTGCACAACTGAGTGCTAGAGCGACGACAGCGTCTCTTTTTACTTGGCGCGAGCAACAGTCCAAAGCTAATTAAATTAAGCAGCTGTCTGTGCGCGTGTGTGTGTGGGAGAGCGGTGTGCACGTTGCGCGCACTACTTAAGAGAAACAGAGCTTTCCGTTGTGTTTGTTTGACTGAAGAAGAAGAAGAATGGAAACAAAACCTGTAAAACCGGAAAGTATGTATATCTTGTAAAAAAACATTGTTGTTCTTGTCGTCACAAAAAGTTGTTGCTATGGTTGGTTGCTGAGCAGCTGTTTGTGAGCATTTTGCTGGATTGTCTGTTTCGTTCTCTCTCACCCATTCTCATTCAGTTGCTCTCTTCAAATATACACAACAAGAAATTTAATAACTGTGCTTATCAGCTGTGCCTTAAGCAGCTGCTGTTGTACATTTTGCAATTGCAGTATTTTACGTATGTATGTATGTATGCTCGTATACTTGGGTGCGTGAGTATGTGTAATATGTATTGTTGGGGATGACTTCGTGTCGTACGATGTTGCACTCGATAAATAAAAGCTTATAAACTAACCGACCGACAGGAAATGGCAATATGTATTTAGTATACACATGAGCACAGAGTGTGCGTTTGGGCCTAAATGTGTTTATGTATGAATGTCAGCCGTCAAGAAAATTCGATGAAGAGTCAAAAACGCACGTGCTCACGACCTTCTCGTATTTGCGAAAAAAAATGAAAGAATAATATAAATTCAGAACATATACCAGAAAAATTTGTCACAGTTTTGTTCGGTGGAATCTTTTCTGCAATATGTGTCTACCTACAAATTGTTGTCGAGTGCCAAATGATAAATAATACATAGCTACACTGAGAGAAAAAATAGTTAAAAAGCAAAAACTTACCGTAAATAAAAGTAAACAAAAAAATTAATTGAAAAGAAGAAAACTTAAAATCAATTTTAAATATTTTTTAGATTTATTTATAGATATAAATATTAACTCTAAAAACAAATGCGTAATTATGTATGTACATTCAACATATTGTACCAAAATAATCAAATGTAATAATTTTGCTTTCTACTTCTCGATCTGGTTTAATTGCTATGTTTTTGTCAATTTGTATGTATGTATTTAAATATAAACATATATATTTATCATAGATAATTATAACAAATACAAAATAATTGGCAAATGCAGGGCATACAAATAAATACAGTTGTATATAATATATATAGATACATATATATGTATATATGCGTATATATTTATTTTTATATAAATATGTTTATGCTAGATCTAACAATTAGGAGAAATAATAAAATAGCTGATGGAAAATGAATTTTCTTTCTAGTTTGCTAATAGATTTTTTTAGATACTGCATTAGTTTTATTACTTGTAAACAAAAATGCAAATGTTGTTGTTGTTGTCGTTAATGTTGTAATTATTGATGATCGCTTGGGATCTGCTTAGTTTCTATTTGCCTTTACGACGCGCATCCGTTATAGCACCCCAGAGTTCGATAATGAAATCATCGGTAAAACCGAAAGATTCTAAATCGGAATTATCGACAGCTTCCGCAAAGTCCATCGAATTCGATTTATTGTCACCCAGCTCCCAGATCTGTGACGCCAGCTCCGTATCGTTGATGCCCATAAAGGATTCCAGCAGCCCATTGATGGCTTCGACGCCAGCCTTGGTGGCCTCGTCGAATTTTGGCTCAATCTGTGCATTGCCATTGGCCTTGAAGCGTAATGTTTCCTTGCCGGAACCATAATTGCGACCGCCATTGAGTCCAGGCGCCGAACCAGATGCACGCGATTGGCTACGCGGTCCGATACCCTGGAAACCGCTGCGCACCGGCTCGACCAGACGCAACGTGAACGTCTCACCCGTCGCAATGTCCTTCAGCATGCGTGCCACCTCATAATGCCGTTTGCCCACCATATTCACTCCGTTCAGCTTTTCGATATGATCTCCCACCGAGATGTGTTCGATGCGATCGATGATCGAATCCTCTTTGATGCGCTTTATGAACGCATAGCCAGCCCCATTGTCGGTGATGGTCAGACCCAAAGCATCCTGCGTCTTGACTATCTCAATCTCTTTGGCCCGGCCCTTGCGATGGGCAAATATAAAATCATCTAGACCAATCTGTCCGCCCAGCAGACGTGTCATGTCCACCTTGTGCGAATTGAGAGTACAGAATAAAATTTCATCTTCGGATATATCAAAGCATTCGGCTATCTTTTTGTACAGCTCCCGGACGCTTGCGAAGCCAGTGATCAGTCCCGTCGGACTTCCATGTGCTAATTGGCAATGGAAGATCAACGGCGGCTTCTTGTCCACATCATTGTTATTGTTCTGATGATTGTTGTTGTTATTCTGTGTATGGGAATCGTAGGATTTGCTGCGTCCTTTGCTATCCTGACTGACATCACTGTGATCGGAGCTTTTCGACGATTTACGGGCAAAGAGCGGCATATTTGTAATAGAAAAGTCCTCTTTCCTCTATATATAGATTATGATAGAATATCGCTCGTTTTATATATATGTATATATCTATCAATATATCTGTGTACGTAGAAGAAATTTGTGGCAGTGTTTTTTGAATAGTTCGATATAATAGATAGTATAAAGGTTAGGTTTATTATTAGTTCCGTGTCCATATAAGTATAAGATGTGTGTATTTGTATATACGTGTTTGTGCGTGTGTGTGTATGTACATATGTATAACACCCGTAAACCGAAACACTTATGGAATCTTATCTAATCTAAGCACAACAATTTATAGTCGTAGGATAGAGTCAAAAGAGAATGAGTCAACCAACGTTTCAAAGTGTCTACA